AAATTCAACACCCAAAACAACTTGTCCCATGTATAATAATAGTCAAACTACCTGTAATGCAAGAAAAACAATATTCTTAATGTTGTACTAAGGGTTCAAATATTTTAAAAAGAATCTGCATATTCGCATATTTGGTCTGATGTATCGCTTAACGATCATGGTTATTTATACTGGATCGTTAAGCGATACACTTGATCGCTTAAGCGATCCAGTAAATAACCATGATCGCTTAAGCGATCTTATGCCATTACTGATCGCTTAAGCGATTGCTCCCATACAATAGACTTTAACCAGATCGCTTAAGGATCATATGCCACATACCTGATGCTTAAGCGATCTATCTGCTACATTACCAGAACTACCAGATCTTAAGCGATCCATATACACAGAACACATTTTCAGTCCTTCCACCTACAATCGATCCATCATACCCAGAATAAATACCCAGAACAAATTTTCAAACAATTTCACTCATTTCAACTTGCATTACACAAAAACAAACCAACAACCTAACAACCAAATCAAAATCATAACCCAAACCCCATCCATTATTAATCTTTGGAAATCTAATATAAAATGTAAAAAGGATTACACATACTTACACGAAATGTCAGGAGGAGGAGGAGGGGATTTTTGCCGGAGAAGATGTTAATGGTGGGGAAGAAGAAAGTGTTAATGGCGGAGGAACAAAAAGACATAGAGGAATGAGGAAGAAGAAGATGTACAGTAAGGAGGAAGAAGAAGATGTGAAGATGTAGACGAAGCTAAGAGAAGAGAGAAGATGCAGAGGTAGAGATAGTTAATGGCGGGAGGAAGAAGAGGTGTGATGGGTGTGTTGCAACAATTTCGGGTTTGTGGGAATATAATATAATTTTGAAAAGATTACATAATACTTCTTTAATCATAATTAAGCACTAATCAAGTTTAATTACCCTTAATCAATAATATAGCTATTTACTTAAAACTTTAAAACTTGATAGCTTTTTAATTAAATTCAAACTTGAGAGGTTGTTTTAATAAACTGCCCCCCGTGACTATGGCTCACTGAGATAAGGACTGTGTCGTTGATGAGGCCATGCTTATTCATCTTCACTTCAACCTGAGTTAACAAAGCTTTGTTCTATTTTTTAATTATTCAGCTGTCGGCATCAATCGAAAATTAGCTAAGAATAGGATACCTTAGCTTTGCAGTGACTGATAATCAGTGAAAAATTAGGTATCAGAGTGAGAGGATTTTTGTATAGAGGAGACCAGAGGATCAAATGGTGGGTGACAGAGAGAATTTTTGCTATTAGAATCGACTGAAATCGGCTTTGAGTAGTAACGGAATATTGACTTTGGGTGGAAAAATGATATTTTAAAACTTTTTGGGTGAAAAATCATTAAGGCAAACCTTGGGTGGGAAAAAGTCGTGTACTCTTTTAATTATTCTTAACAGATTTTGTTTAACAATAAAACTACGCATACAATTTTTTCGTACAATATTGAGGTGGTAGCTTGCCATCCGTCAGTTTGTATGAAAAGATTGTAAGTGTAGTGTTACTCTTTGTTTAAATTATATATTTTTTAAAAAGTAATTAAATAACAAAAATCTTTATTATGATTATAGTAACAACATAAATATTTTTATCGATGAATTTTTTTTGTTAAAATAAATAATATAGTGATATTAGATAAATATTTTTTGACCTATTATATCATGAATTCTAACCCATACTATCTATTCACAAACTAGATAGAAATTTATGTTATTTCTAAAATTTCTGAAGAAATTTTAATAATTAATTAAATCTTAAGGGTTTGAGGGGGAAAAAAACCTCATTTCAACATTTAAAAATGTTTTTGATATAATATTCAAAAACTACTTCACATTCTAAATTGTAGAAAATTATAAAAACAATTTTTAATATTTTTCTGATTTTAGATTAATTTTTAGGATTGAATTCAAAGATTTCTTTCAAAAACATTTTGACTCCATTCTACTAAACAGGTTTTTATAAGATATTTTTTATTTTTAAAAATAAAAAATTGTATTTAAATTATATATCAAACAAGCTTTAATAACATTGTTTTCAGTATAAAATAATACGTAAAATATTGGTAGGTTACATATATATAATTTTTTTTTTTTTTTATAATTCAGGTGTCTAAGCCAGTTTGCATATAACCTCAACTAATCTTTAGGGTCCATTGAACATCCTACAAACCTAAAGGACCCGATAAGTTACAATGTTATTATAGTAGGTAACCTCAAGGTGGTTTGAACCCAGGAACTCAAGGAAGCAAATGTGTGCGCAAGCTGGCTTAGATACTCCGATTATAAAAAAAAAAAAAAAAAAATCAATAAACTAGGCAAACCTTCTTGACCATGAGGCCAACCTCTTCTGAGTTGTATTATTGAAAATCAAATTTGATTTAAGTTTATTTTATAAGACATGGAGTATCAAAAGAAATTCAATATTGAAGTGGGTCCAAAAATAGTTTAATAAAGAAGTTAATTAGAATTGTTTATGTTAATTTTGACTTAAAATGAGATTAAAGTTTTAATTTGAGTGGAAAGAGATCCCAATGATCTTTTTGTAACCTTGAAAATTATGAGGGTTCAGTTGGCAATTGTACTCAGATACCTAAGTTATTAAAAAAAAAAAAAGTTTCTATATGTCTTAAGGATATTATAGAAAACAAATTTATATTAATTAATTTACTTATTAAAATAGTATACCCTCTTGAGTAGCAATACCAATATGTATTAATATTTTTAGATTATTAAATGTTAAATTAAACTCTTGATCTTAATAAGATTTTTATCTTAGTTATGTTGAGCCAGGAATTTTATTTAGGGGCTAAATCATATTTTCCACCCATCATCAATCTTCATCAATAGAATTTGTTACCTGACAGGGGTAAAGTTACGAAAAGACTATAATACCCTTTACTATTTGCTTTATAATTTTTAGTGAGGTTGAATAATATTTTTGCATCCAAACTTTATTAAATGTATTTTACCCCTAGCTTGGTTTATGTTAATTTTAGGGTTAATAAATTAAAAATAATAATAATAATAAAGTTAGTTATTAAAATTAAAAAAACCCGAAATTTTTTTGAAAAAAAATTCAAAAATTCAAAAATAAAAACAGTTGGCCGAAATTGCACCGGCTAAATCACACTTTGCTAGATGTGATCGGATGCGATTTAGGCCAAATCACACTTGGTCAGGTGCGACTTTGGTCGAATCGCACTAGGCCTATTGCTATTCTAGTCAGGTGTGAATCTATCAGAATGACACCCAATTGAATGCGATTCAGCCGAAATCGATAGGTGCGATTATAGCAAATTGATTTTTTTTTCAGTTTTTTAATTTTTTTTTTTCAAATTTTCATAACTTGTTTTATTTCCTGATTTTTTTCTTTTTAACAATTTTTCAGAAATTATATATTTTATATGATTTCATAAACTATGTACAATTTTAATGAAATATTGTTTTGTTGTCTTATAAATATTTAATTGACAAACATTATTATAATTTTTCAAAATAATATATACAATTTTAAAATTATTTAGAAACACTCAAATTTTAAAAGTGAAACCTCTATTCTAATTATAGAAATCGAAGATAAGGAGTTTAAATGGTCAATTCCCATTCCGGTGAAGGTTATTGTTATCAGTTTGTAATTTAGGGGTGTAAGGAACAGTAAACCTATAATACATATATTGTGTAAACTGACAAAAATACCCTTTTGCTGTCAAAACTAATGTCTGAGTTTAGGGACCTTTTTTTTTTTCCAAATGGGAAAATATATATTCGCCAAACTTCGGGTGGAAATTGTCATCAGCCTTATTTAGGAGGCCAGGCATAAGATATTTTTAACTATAAAAAAAAAAATTATATTTAAAACTAAATTATTATGAAAAGGTAACATCTTTCTTTCATATGTAATACGAATAATTTAAGGTATAGTAACATTTAATATTTGGATTTATTGTATGAGATTTTATAGTTTAATGTACATTATTACTAAATCTGATCCTTGTATCAGAGCCTAGATCTAGTCATGTTGTACACCAAAACGATAACTGAATCTAATATTAATAAAGAGTAATTTTACTTTTATGCACAGTATTATGCCTAAAAAGTCAAGGTTGACGTGGACTCTCATCAGAAAGAGCCAATTAGAATTCAGGAAGCATTTGTGTCGTCTATACGTTGAGACGTCGCGCAATGATGGAAGAGGTATGGTTCTCATCAGTGCAGCAGGTGAATGTCAGGCTTGCAAGTAGCTAAGAATCATCCACCTGCTCAAGCCTTACGCAATTTAAGGATATCTTTTGTGTAGATAACCAATGGGAAGCGAATTAGGAATTATATCCCATTTGCCAGACTACATGCTTATGATTATCACCTTGAATCCTCCCACTATAAATAGAAGACTCCTTTCTCATTTATGTGATTGACTTATCTTAGTCTAAAACAGTATACTCTCTCTCTCTCTCTCTCTCTCTCTCTCTCAGTAGACGTAGTTGTAATCTAGATTACAACATATATATATATTCTCTCTAGATTGTAACTCAGTTCGCTACATGCGACCTGACTGCAACCATCTATTAATACAACTACAATAGATGTAGGAATCGCTTCTGAGTATCCGAACCACTTTAAAAACCGTCTTTTATTTACTCTCTTGCTACATATTTCCCTATCACGTATAACTTCTAAGTCCGCTTAACATTTTGCATATGTGAGTCGTTGGTGTCAAAAATCAAGCATCATCATATAACTATCACACAAAGAGTAATTGTATTTACTACAGGCTTCACCAAAACTCACTGCAATTTGCATCTCCTTACAAGAATTGTTTTTTACAGTCTCTGGACTAATCACCAACTGGAATCTAAGTTTATAATTTCTCTATTCTCTTCTTGTTAGTTCTTCAAAAGTTCATCTGCACATCAAAGCTCTTGCATTCATCAAGTCCTTGTGAGTTTCAGTCTCAACTTCCGAGTCAACCAATTACTTTCCCCAGTTTTTGATTCCGTTTTGTTTTAGAGTCGCGGGAAGTTTCCATAGATTTCGAATTCCTCTCAAGGGAAGTTGAGGACTACCGGTTTCTGTTGATCCCTCGATAATTTCAGTCACCATTTCCAATACCTCACTCATCTTTGGGCGTAAGTTTGGGTTTGTGACCAAGCATCGGTTGGCTATAGTTGCAAGTTTGTGGACTGAATTGAGGGAGTATTTACCTTCAAGCCTGGGGTCCAATATTTGTTGAATTTTTTTGGCGTCAGATAAGTATGGCTTTACCCATTCCAATAATTTCTGCTCACTCTTGGGACGGTTTCGATCTACAGGACCCCTTCCTGTGATTAGTTCGCAAAGGAAGATGCCATAGCTCCATACGTCACTACTGGCCGCCAGCTGACCAGTTTGGACATATTCAGGAGCTGCATATCCCAAGCTACGGACAACCTGAAGAGATCAAAGTTTAAGCAAATTCAACTGGAAGAAGAAATAGAAAAGTAGCTAATATTCTGTTTCTATAGCAGGCATTTGGATAACATAAACTAGATGAAAGAGTAATCATAATATAAAACCTAAAACCAATGATTTGTTTCTCATTACATCACTTAAACCTATTCTGTTTTGTAATATATTCGAGGGTGAAATAGGAATGTCCATAACCTGTTATGTTTTGTAAAATACTTCCTTTGCTAGTTTATTTCTGCAACTGACCATTGAAAGACATAATTGTTAATGCTCAAACCTAAATACACATATCTTCAGTTCTCTATTTTCATCATCAAAAACATCATATTGGTCGGGTTACGTATTATGGACATACCTCTGTTGAAACATGGGTGAATACTTCTGCAGGACCTAATCTTGCCAATGCAAAATTTGATAGTTTTGCATTCCAATTCTCGTCAAGAAGGATATTTGAAGATTTGAAATCTCTTAAAATGATCTGTACAGAATTAAAAAAGATAACAAGTTGTAAAATACCCTGCTCTTGGATAAGCTGTACTTGAATCACAGTTTAACTTTTCATTAAAAGACCACCCAGGAAGCATCCCATGCACTATTACAAATCTGCTCACAAAACCTTAACATGTTGAAATATCAAAAGCATAAATACCTGAAAATCCATTTCTTCATGTAGGTATTCCAAACCACGAGCAGTATCTTGGGCAATTTTCAGTCTCATGGTCCATAGAAGAGTTGTCTCTGATCGACGGGATAAATGCTGATGCACACTTCCATTAGGCATAAATTCATACACTAGAAGCAGCTGGGTTTGCCTTTCATCGTCCTCAGGACAGTATCCCACCAATTTTACAAGGTTTGGATGCTCGACAGCCCCTAGAAAATTCACCTCTGTCACCCATTCCTTGTGTCCCTGTCAACCAATAGCTGAAAACCTTAGTTCACACAAAAAAAAAAAAAAAAAAAAAAAAAAAAAAGAAAGGATTATCAACTAAAATAAGTATATCTTAATTTCACAATGTCCAGCAATCTGCGATAGGCTTAAAATAATGTTTTCCAGCATTAAATACAGTATCATACGCTATCTAACAAACTGTAGGTATAATAGCAAATTCTAGCAGGACAAGAAATAGAGATGATTCCAAGTCATTATAAGAAACAAAAACCATAGACGAGTAGAGTGGGCGCAAAACATTTCAGTTATTACCACATGTTTATTTTGTCGAATTACTAAATTTATAGACTGACTGAACAGAATCATACCCTAATCTAGTATATTTATCTGAGACTGATAAATTTATTCTTTAAATGCCTACAAATTGAAATGCAATTTATTTTAGCAGTCCTACAGTAAGAATGTAGCATCATTGAAAAGTGGGATTAATCCTACTTAGCAACAACCTTAAAACATCTGAACTTGAAGCAGCTTATGACAATCAACAACTTAAAATAAATTGCTTCTTACTACTTTCACAGTAAGTGCTAAACCAGTGAACATCAAAAACATTAGCAATAACAAAAGAAAACTAAAGGCAATAAATCTTATAATATAAAAGAACCCTTGCCTGCATCCCTCTTCTTCCAAGCTGTTTCACAGCAACTTCAACTTTTTGAGATGGATCATCCGAATTCTTGATCAACCCTTTATAAACGCGACCAAACCCACATTCACTAACCAAAACAGAGCGACTAAAATTCTTGGTAGCTGACTTCAGCTCAGCTATGGCGAACAATTGAAGATTACTGGGTTTCTGAGATGTTGGAAACGAGTACGAGTTACTTTCTCCAGTTTTTGATTCCATACTGGTTTTCCCATTGTTTGTTTTATTGTCAAGGGAAGTTTCCATAGACGTCCAACTCCTCAAGGGTAGTTGAGGACTACCAGTTTCTGTTGATTCCTCCACAATTTTAGTCACCATTTCAAATACCTCACTCATCTTTGGGCGGCACCTCGGGTTGTCGACCAAGCATAGGGTGGCTATCCTTGCAAGTTTTTGGACTGACTCAAGGGTACATTTACCATGTAAATTCAAACCTGGGTCCAACATTCGTCCAAAATTTCCGTATAAGTATGGCGTTACCCATTCCGATAGTCCCTGCTGACCCTTGGGACCGTGTCGATCCATAGAACGCCTACCTGTAATTAGTTCAAAAAGGAAGACGCCATAGCTCCATACATCACTCTTGGCCGACACATGACCACTTTGGACATATTCAGGAGCTGCATATCCCACGGTACCTACAACCTGATGAGATGAAAAGTTGAGCAAATTCAACCAGAAGAAGAAATATAAAAGCAAGGCATTTGAACGGCATAAACCTATTCTGTTCTGTGAAATATTCAAAGGTGAATTTGGAATGTACATAACCTACAATCAGTTCTTTCTCTTTTTTTTTTTATTAGTTATTTATTGTTGAGTTCTCAAAGTTCCTTTGAAGGAATGTCATACACGTTGGCGTGTCCTTGTCAAAACAAGTAATGGAAATTGATTATGTAGATGCCACCATAAAAACAATTAATTCATTTTCAGTTCCCACGTGATAGACAAATTTTTATTCATGAGGAATTCCAAAGTCCATATTCCCTATAAATGCTTCATGACTTCCCTGTAAGTCACAGATCCCCAAGGTGAAATATATTACCTTTGCTAGTTCATCTCTGCAACTGACCACTGAAATACATAATTATCTAAAACGTTAATGCTCAAACCTTATAAGCACAGTGTTTCAGGTACCCATATCTCCCATTCTCTATTTTCATATTAAAAGAAAAAATGTGTCATCATCTTCTTATTTTTATTTATTTATTTTACAAGGGTAGCTTAAAGATGTAAAGATATTTTGCATTGAGATATCATAATCGCAGAAACAAAAGAAATCCTCAAAATATTACATGGTGCAGGCAATTACAATAAAAAAATGACTAATAGCCATCTGGGTTTTTCACTTTCAAAGATTATTTTAGCTGCAAAAGAAGAGCAAATGCAGGAAAGATCTTTTGTTTAAGTCAGATGATAACTAATATGAAGAAAATTCTAGAAAAGTTTCTTTTGATAATTAAGTCATTATTGTTGCATGATTTTAGAGATTTTGTAGCTAAAACTATGAAGATATGCAAATTTAGGTTCTGTTCTATGTCAGTCTTATTTCACTTAAACATAATGCCTAAGTTCAATGATTAAAGGGATAAATATCAAATAATGGCCGAATTATGTAGTGTGGATATACCGTAGTTGAAACGTGTGTGAATCCTTCTGGAGGACCTAATCTTGCCAATCCAAAATCTGATAGCTTTGCATTCCAATTCTCATCAAGAAGGATATTTGAAGATTTGAAATCTCTAACGATGATCTGTAATAGATACAACAGAATAAAAAAGACAATAAAGTAGCCTGCTAATGGATAAGCTGCACTAGAATCACAGTATCAACTTTTCATTGAAAGAACCAGGAAGCATCCAATGCACTACTACATATCTGCTAACAAAACCTTCAACATGTTGAAATATTAAAAGCATAAATACCTGAAAATCCATTTCTTCATGTAGGTATTTTAAACCACGAGCAGCATCCAGGGCAATTTTCAATCTCAAGGTCCAAGGAAGCACTGTCCTTGATCGACGGGATAAATACTGATCCAAACTTCCGTTAGGCATAAATTCATACACTAGAAGCCGCTGGGTTCCCCTTTCATTGTCCTCAGCACAGTATCCCACCAATTTTACAAGGTTTGGGTGCTCGACAACCCCAAGAAAATTCACCTCTGTCACCCATTCCTTGTGTCCCTGTCAACCACTAGTTGAAAACCTTAGTTCAACTAAAAAGAGCATCTTTTTTCACAATGTACATCAATCTGCCATAGGCTTAAGATGGTGTTTTCCAGCATTAAATACAGTATTTTACGCTTTATAACAAACTGTAGAATAATAAATTCTAGCAGGACAAGAAGAAACAGAAATAATTAAGTCATTATAAGAAACAAAATAACTATGGAAGAGAAGGGTGGGGGCAAAACATTTGAATTACTACCACATGGTTATTTTGTCTAAATGTTGAAGGCTTTGCTAATTTATAGAGTGACTGAAAAAGAATCTTACCATAGTCTAGCACTAATTATCTTAGACTCAATGAATTTATTCTTTACATGCCTACAAATTGAAATGCCATTTATTTTTAGCAGTCCTTCACTGAATCTCCAAAAATATTAGCTGTATAATAATTTCTTCAAATACTTGTGAGATTGTATCTTCATTGAAATCATAATATATAGAAGTGGGATTAATCCTACTTAGCAACAGCCTTAAAACACCTGAACTTGAAGTAATTTATGACAGTTAACAACTTTAATCGGTTCTCAGTTTAAGTGCTTCTACAGTGAGTACAAAACAAGTGAACATCTAGAACATTAGCAATAACAAACTTCAGGCAAAAAATCTTAAAATAGCAAAGAACCCTTGCCTGCATCCTTCTTATACCAAGTTGTTTCACTGCAACTTTAACTCTTTGAGATGGATCCTCCGAATTCTTGATCGACCCCTTAAAAACATAACCGAACCCACCTTCTCCAACCAAATCAGAGGGACTGAAATTCTTGGTTGCTGATTTTAACTCAGCTAGGGTGAACACTTGAAGATTACTGGGTTTCTCAGACATTGGAATTATGGGCGTTCCCCTGGAATCAGTGTCGATTACTGATACATTATGTGTATTTGGTCCAGCTCCATCATCAGTAGCTGTAGAACACGAAGACGGCATTGAAACTAATGATTCTAGGGTCCTCGGAGATATAGGTTCATCTCTCTTGTCTCTCTTACCGAAATGGAATCGCTTCATAGCCCTCAATAAATCAAAAGACAGAAATTTCCTGACTGCAGAACCAGATGCGAATAAGAAAGAAACTCAAATAAACAAATGAATCTAAAACTTCAGTATCTAAGTCTGTGACAGTCAAAGAATGCATAGATAATGAAAGTTGACCACAGTAATTGTTCAAGTAGAATAACTCAAAATCTATCTATAAGAAACATAAAACACATATTCAATCAAATTCAATGAAATAACCATCAATTTCCCAGATAAACACAATTTGCATTCTTCTATCTTTTCTTATGCATAATTTAATTTTTTGGACAAAAGTCAAGCACATGAAAACCAAGAACACTTTGATATCAGTTATTTATCACTGACACACAATCTATAAACTTTCTGCAAATTATCATCACCAAAAGAGAAACTTACAATCATCAATCTTGACAGATGGGTTTGTAAAAACTTGTTCCATTTACAGAATTCCAATTTGAATTAATGTAAAGAGAAAACAAATGGTTATGATCTTGAGATAAATGTCCATACACGGCAACTAGAATAATGAGAGATAGAAATCAACTAGGAAGCAGCTAGGAAAGTAGCTGAGAAAGTGCAAGAAAATGAAAGAAAAGGAGGGAAAGCATTATGGAATATCGTGTATTATTTCTCTTTACCAGAAAGAGTTACAAAGTTTGTTTTTTATACAAACTGACCCGGTCAACAAGTCAACAGGTCAGCCTAAATAAGATTTACAAATTTGTCCTCTAAATGCATTAACAAAGAACCTCCATACTCTTAACATTCCCTGGTAAACCGAACCTCCATTGAACTTATATTAACCAAGTAGGACTACTTAACTGCCCATTTCACATATCCTAACAGTCCCTCGTAAAGTCAACCTCCATAGAACAACTCAGATGCCATTCAAAACAGAGCACTGAGTACTTCTAATTAAACCATTTCCAGCACAGCAGTAGCAACATTAATAAAGGAGCAGTAGCTTGAATTTTTCAGTATGTCAAAGAGCCAAAACATTCTAACTGAACTTTTCAGCATATAACAGCAGTCAGCTGTAAAAGATTTTCCAGCAATGAACTTAATGCATTTCAGCACAGAACAACAGCTCAATCTCAATTACTTAATCAATAGAGCAGCTCAACCTCAATTACTTGATCAACATAGCAGCCAACAGCAGCTCAATTCGCAATTACTTAATCAAACATAGTAGCCAACAGCAGCTCAATTCGCAACAACTCAATGCAAAATTAAAAACAGAACTAAAAGATTACTTTTCCATTCCAAAAAAGCAAATTGCAATCCATTCCTTCTTTCAGCAACTTTGTCTTATCCCCAACATCTTTCTCGTTAATACGAGTTTCTTCAAACGGGTTCTGTGAAAACATGGCATTCCAAATTAGAGGACTTCCCGCTCGAAATTGTTCAGTCTAAATCTTAGCCATTGAACCCAATTGAACTAAAATTTGCAGCTAAAAGAAATTACCGAACTTCCCGCTCGAAAAGTTTTCTCAACAGTGTTTCCCGTAACGTAATTGCGCATCTTGGTCCTCACAAATGCTGCTCCTTTTCCAGGTTTCACATGAAGAAACTCTTCCCAAGACAAACACAATTTTAACAAGACAATTAAGAATTTACTTGTTCTGCAAAAAAAATAAGTAAATAGATAACAATACCCAAAACACGCCAAGGAGCTCCGTCTACTTCAATGTTGGTACCCACTTTGATATCGTTACTAGACAAGGCGTAAATCCCTGCAATACCAACATAAATTATTTTTCTAAAAAATTAAAATGTAAATGCATATGAACAATTGAGAGAGGGATTATTAACTAGGATATTTGGGAAGAGGGCGCAGAGACAGAATGGAGGGTTTAGAGGAAAGGGAAATTAATGATGAACGGCGGAGGAGAGAAGGAGTTGATGAGATATTGAAGGTGGCCGTGGCGGTTCCCGCCATGGTGAGTAAAGATAATATCTTGTAAAGAAATGAAATGAAAATGGTTGGGTTCTCAGAAGTCAGAAATTAGAGGGCAGGGCCGTGACTATGGCTCACTGAGATAAGGACTGTGTCGTTGATGAGGCCCTGCTTATTCATCTTCACTTCAACCTGAGTTAACAAAGCTTTGTTTTATTTTTCAATTACGAGTTTACGGCAAAACGACTTTTTCCCACCCAAGGTTTGTCTTAATGACATTTTTCCATTAAAAAATTTCCAAATACCACTTTTCTATCCAACGTTTATATTCTGTTAAAACTTAAAATACCCTTCACTTTCTCAGCTAGTGTTCGACAAGTTACCAAGAGTTTAGGTAAGAGGGTTTTAATTGAGTGGAGGCCGATGAATCTAGTGGTAGTGACCAATTGATAATCCGCTGTCGAAATCAATCGAAAATCAGTCAAGAATAAGAAACCTTAGGTTTGTAATGACCGACAATCAGCAACAAATTAGGTATCGGAGTGAGAGCGTTTTTGTATAAAGGAAACCGGAGGATTAAATGGTGGGTGACGGAGAGAATTTTTGCTATTAGAATAGAGTGAAATAGGCTTTGAGTAGTAACAGAATATTGACTTTGTGTGGAAAAATAGTATTTAAAACTTTTTGGGTGGAAAAGTCATTAAGGCAAACCTTGGGTGGGAAAATCGTTTGCTCTTTTAATTATTCATAAGAGATTTTGTTTAACAATAAAACTACACATACAACATTGAGGTGGTAGCTTGCCATCCGTCAGTTTGTATGAAAAGGTTGTACGTGTAGACTTAGGGGCAGATCCAGAAATTTCTATTAGGGTGGGCCAAATAAAAATCAATTGTATATAACATTCATTCCATTTTTCCAGTCAATATTGTCAAAAAAAAAAAAAAAATTACATTTACTATTGTCCTCGGCGGGGCTTCATATTGAGGAATTGTTGCATGACCATCTCCTTATCAACACTGTCAAATATATATTTCTCAACATATGGAATTAGATTATCATTCAAGAATTAATCTCCCATCCGATTGCGTAAATGAATCTTCACAATTTTCATAGCAGAAAATGCCCTTTCTACACTTGCAGTTGCAACTGGTAAGGTTAAAGCCAATGTGATGAGTAAATAAGATGCTTATTCTTTTCAACCATTTTCTAAGCAAGACTGGTAATATCATTTAGTTCTGAAAAATCACTATTTGAGCGCATATCATCAATGTAATCATCAAGTTGAAGTTCAAGTGCCATAAGATCAGTAGAAGAAAATTCAGGTGGATAAAATTGAGCAAAACAAACTAATTTTCCCTTATCAAATGCTTGAAAGCAATCACTTGGATTTAGGAAGGCCATGCAAATAAGTAATTTTATATTACCTTCATTAAAACGACTTTTAAGCTCTGATAGTTGCAAATCTATTATGGCATAGAACAACTCAACACAATAATGAAATAGATTTGTCATCTCTTGAACATTACGCCGCGATCTCCCTCGTGCAACAAATTTCTCTTGCATATTTGGCATATCTATATTATGAGCAATGCAAAAATGAGAAACTTCATCAAGTAGATTATCCCATCCATTATTTCTTATCAACAATAATTTTCTTTTTGACAAGTGAACCAAAGACATAGCATTTATAATATCTTGATCATTCCTTTGCAATGCTTGTGAAAGTTTAAATGTGATTCCCAAAATGTTTTTCATTATGTGCAGGTTAAAAGTAAAATCAAAAGAAGTCATATAATCCACAAATCACTTGCTTCAACTCTATTATCGGAATTTTCAGTAAGATCCTCAAGCACTTCAATAACAGATGAAAACAAATTAATCAAGCTCAACAAAGTCCCATAATGTGAACCCCACCGTGTTTCCCCTGGTCGCTTAAGACTAGTATCTTGATTAAGACCTTGCCCTGTTGAAAGCTCACCACTTTCAATAGCTTTTTTCACCTTCAAAGCTTGTTTCTCATTAAGAAGATCCCTACGTCTAGGTGACCATCCAACAATATTTATCACACAAGAAACTTTCAAAAAAAAGTCTCTCAATATTTGTATCATTTTTTGCCACAGCTACAAGTCCCAATTGAAGTTGGTGAGCAAAACAATGAACATAGAAGGCATATTCATTATCTTTCAATATAAGTGCTTTTAACCCATTAAACTGACCTCGCATATTACTCGCACCATCATAACCTTGTCCACGTAATCTTGATATGCTCAAATTGTATTTAGAGAACAATGTTTCGATTCCCATCTTTAGTGACAAAGCAGTCATATCTGTGATATGCATAATGCTCAATAGACACTCAACAACACATCCTCTTTTATTTACATAACGTAAGATAATTGTCATCTGCTCTTTGTTGGATCCATCATGAGCTTCATCAACCAATATAGAAAAAAAAACATCTCCAAGATCACTAATTAGTTTGTTGACGGTTTCAACTGCAAATGCATTGATTATATCTTTTTGGATACTAGGAGCAATCAATTTATCATGTCTAGGAGCATTCTGCAATGCGACTAATCCATATTCTTCATTTTGCTCAGTTGTATAGTGTAAAAGTTCAAGAAAGCTTCCTCGATTCATTGAATTAGACTCATCATGGCCACGAAAAGACAATCCTTGCTGAAGAAGAAACCGACGAGCAGAAATTGATCCTTTCAATCGAATATGATAATCTTCTCGCTGTTGGTTAGATTTCTTATTAATATTTGTACTTACATGCTGCTTTTGGTTCATCAAAGCTTGACAATTTTTCACATCTTGATTATGATAGTTGTTAGGACCTCCAATATGATATTAAAATTTTTCAAGTCTCTTCCAATTGTAAAACCCATCAAGAACAAAAGAATCATCGCCACTTTGCTCGCCTTTATCTGGTTTGAAAAGATAACAACATAAACAATATGCAACATCATTCTCAACACTATATTCCAACCAGTAAGGATATTTGTCAAACCAAGAACGTTGGAAACTCCGTTCATGATCACTAGATTTTGATTTGGGAAACTTATGGTTACGAGGTTGACAAGGATCCTTTTATAGATAACACATTCTGACTTGGTCTCGAACATTAGGATGATAAAATGTAATTCCTGGTCGAAATCCAGGATCAAAAGGAAGATTTTCCAAGTCAACTTCGAAGCTATTTTTCTTTGAAAAATGTTGGTTTTCATGATCATTAACACTAGAACAAAGTTGAGATGTCTCAGCAATTGATTTTCTTTTAAAATATTTTTTCATATCTAAATATAAATAAATAAAATTATATAAATACAAATAAATAAATTAACTCACGAATTGAATTCTATAATAACTATAGAAATTCTAAATTTTGCAACTTAAAGTTTTTTAATCAACAACTTAAAGTTTTAAAGACTTAAATAATACATAAAAATAAAACCCTCCTTGATTCTATCTATATTTCTATTTCTATTATCTATATATTATTTTTCTTCCAAATTTTGGGATCACGAAACAATCATCTAACTATCACAAAATAACAAAATAGTGGGCTAAGACTTTTAGTTCTAAAATTGAGAGTGGGTCACAATTTTTTAATATTTGACAATAAAAATTAAGGGTGGGCCAAAGTCAAACTAAATAGAATAATGTATTTAATTTATTTTTAAAAAAAAATTGAGGGTAGGCCTTAATACACCTTGGATCCACCCCGTGTAGTGTCTCTTTGTTTAAATTATATATTTTTTAAAAAGTAATTAAATAACAAAAATCTTTATTATGATTATAGTAACAATAAATATTTTTATCGATGAATTTTTTTTGTTAAAATAACTAATATAGTGATATTAGATAAATATTTTTTGACCTATTATATCATGAATTCTAACCCATACTATCGATTCACAACCTAGATAGAAATTTATGTTATTTCTGAAATTTCGTAAGAAATTTTAATAATTAATTAAATCTTAAGGGTTTGAGGGGAAAAAAACCTCATTTCAACATTTAAAAATGTGTTTGATATAATATTAAAAAACTACTTCACATTCTAAATTGTAGAAAATTATAAAAACAATTTTTAATATTTTTTCTGATTTCAGATTAATTTTTAGGATTGAATTCAAAGATTTCTTTCAAAAACATTTTGACTCCATTCTACTAAAAACGTTTTTATAAGATATTTAAAAAAAAAAAAATTGTATTTAAATTATATATCAAACAAGCTTTAATAAAATTGTTTTCAGTATAAAATAATACGTAAAATATTGGTAGGTTATATATATATAATTTTTTTTTTTTATATAACTGGGGTGTCTAGGCTAGCTTACATATAATCTTAACTAATATTTAAGGTCTATTGAACACCCTACAAACCAAAAAGACCAGAAAGCTAGCATAGATACTCCGATTATCGGGAAAAAAAAAAAATCAATAAAGTGAGCAAACCTTCTTGACCACCAGGCCAACCCCTTCTGAGTTGTATTATTGAAAATTAAATTTGATTTAAGTTTATTTTATAAGACATGGAGTATTAAAAGAAATTCAATATTGAAGTGGGTCCAAAACATAGTTTAATAAAGAAGTTAATTAGAATTGTTTGTGTTAATTGTGACTTAAAATGAGATTAAATTTGAGTGGAAAGAGATCCCAATGATCTTTTTGTAACCTTGAAAATTAAGAGGGTTCAGTTGACGATTGTACTCAGATACCTCAGTTGACGATTGTACTCAGATACCTCAGTTATTAAAAAAAAAAAGTTTCTACGCGTCTTAAGGATATTATAGAAAACCAATTTATATTAATTAATTTACTTACTAAAATAATATACCCTCTTGAGTAGCAATACCAATATGTATTAATATTTTTAGATTATTAAATGTTAAATTAAACTCTTGATCTTAATAAGATTTTTATCTTAGTTATGTTGAACCAGGAATTTTATTTAGGGGCTAGATCATAAGTTGCCACCCATAAACTTTGAAAAAAAACATTTTCCCACCCATCATCAATCTTCATCAATAGAATTTGTTACCGGACAGGGTAAAGTTACGAAAAAACTATAATACCCTTTACTATTTGCTTTATAATTTTTAATGAGGTTGAATAATATTTTCCCATCCAAACTTTATTAAATGTATTTTACCCCTAGCTTGTTTTATGTTAATTTTAGGGTTAATAAATTAAAAATAATAATAATAAAGTCAATTATTAAAATTAGCAAATTGATTTATTTTTTTTCAAATTTTCATAACTTGTTTTATTTCCTGATTTTTTTCTTTTTTCTTTTTAACAATTCTTCAGAAATTATATATTTTATATGATTTCATAAACTATATACAATTTTAATGAAATATTGTTTTGTTGTCTTATAAATATTTAATTGACAAACATTATTATAATTTTTTAAAATAATAGATAAAATTTTAAAATTATTTAGAAACACTCATATTTTAAAAGTAAAACCTCTATTGTAATTATAGAAATTGAAGATAAGGAGTTTAAATGGTTAATTCCCATTCCAGTGAAGGTAATTGTCATGGGTTTGTAATTTAGGGGTGTAAGTAATATTAAACCTATAATACATATATTGTGTGAACCGACAAAAATACCCTTTTGCCGTCAAAACTAATGTCCGAATTTGGGGACATTTTTTTTTTTTTTTCCAAATGGGAAAATGTATATTCGCCAAACTTCGGGTGGAAATTGTCATCAGCCTCATTTAGGAGGCCAGGCATAAGATATTTTTTAACTATAAAAAAAAAATATATATATATATATATTTAAAACTAAATTATTATGAAAAGGTAACATCTTTCCTTCATATGTAATACGAATAATTTTAGGTATAGTAACATTTAATTTTTGGATTTATTGTATGAGATTTTATAGTTTAATGTACATTATCACTAAATCTGATCCTTGTATCCTCAATATCACAGAGCCTAGATCTGGTCATGTTGTACACCAAAACGATAATTGAATCTAATATTAATGAAGAGTAATTTTTCTTTTATGTATAGCTATCACACAAAGGTAGCGTTTGGTTTAGGGTGATATAAGATTAATCCTGTAATCTTTGTTTAATTTTCAAGATTTCTTCGTTTAGATGTCAAGTAATAAAATATTACGTAATCTTTTATTGTAAATAGTGTTTACTGTTGGTAATATTAGGGGTAATCAGATTACCTTTCAAATGGGTGTTAATATAAGATTAACGAGGTAATCTTAATTTTGACCATATTTTGTCCTTAATCTTTTATCATTTCGGACACATTTGCCCTCATATGTCTACCAAATAACAATTACCCAAACCCTCTACATTTGAGAATTTAGCTAAAACACCCAACCACAAAAAAGTTTAAAAGTTAACAAAATACCTCCAACCACCCAAGACCATCGTCGGCCATTAGCCACCACCACTGGCCGTTGGCGAAAGTCGTCATATTGGCACAAGACTGGCAAGATCTTGCCGTTCGTGTGCTAGTAAGGACATTTCCGGCCATAAATTTATGATCCATGGCCGGAAACGACCAGATTTGGCCGTTTCGCCATAGATCTGGCCATGAAAAGGCCAGATCTTTGGCTGTGAAATGGCCGCCGTTTCACGGCCAGATCTAGCCAGATTAGGCCTTATCGACGCACGACGAACCAGATCTGACAAGTTGTGTGCCATTACGACGACTGCCGACGGTGGTGGTTGGCTGCTGACGGTGGCTGGGGGTGAGTAAGGGTGATTTTGCTATAAATTAAAATTGTATATGATTAGGGTATTTTAGCAAAATTTCAAATATAGGGGGGTTAAAAGAAATAATTTAAAAAATAATATAATAAAAATAATATTATATTATTATTTAAAAAAGGGAACAATTTAGTAATCTACGTAACATATCCACTTATTTATCCTCCCAATCAAACATATTATTATAACTTATCTACCAATTTATTCCAACTGACCAAACCCATTTCTCTAAATATTCTTTAGTAATCTATCTTTCCAGTAATACAATATTTCTCAGTAATATAACATTCCCTGAACCAAACACGCTTCACCAAAACTCAATGCAATTTGCATCTCCTTACAAGAATTGTTTTTTACACTCTCTGGACTAATCACCAACTGGAATCTAAGGTTTATAATTTCTCTATTCTCTTCTTGTTAGTTCTTCAAAAGTTCATCTGCACATCAAAGCTCTTGCATTCATCAAGTCCTTGTGAGTTTCAGTCTCAACTTCCGAGTCAACCAATTACTTTCCCCAGTTCTTGATTCCGTTATGGTTCCCTTATTTTTTGTTTTAGAGTCGCGGGAAGTTTCCATAGATTTCGAATTCCTAGGTAGTTGAGGACTACCGGTTTCTGTTGATCCCTCCATAATTTCAGTCACCATTTCCAATACCTCACTCATCTTTGGGCGTAAGTTTGGGTTTCTGACCAAGCATTGGTTGGCTATAGTTGCAAGTTTGTGGACTGAATTGAGGGAGTGTTTACCTTCAAGCCTGCGGTCCACTATTTGTCGATTTTTTTTGCAATAATGCTAGGGACACCAAAAATTTTACACCGAAAATGTGTACCGGCCTACGTGTAACACGCATTTATTTTTTTTAATAATTTTTTTCTAGTGAACGGCCGTTCACTCACATGGACGCCCGTTCATATTATATGAACGGACGTCCATATACAAGGGACGGACGTCCCCATTTAAAGGACGCCCGTCCATAAATAAAATATGAAAATAAAATAAAAAAAACTTTGGGGACGGCTGTCCATAAACTTTGGAC